GTTGACCAACCAAAATGTTGTTATGCTTCATATGACTGACTGTGCGTGACTACTGTTTTAAATTCTGGGGTGGCCTGAAATGTAACAACCCTGGCTGACTCATTGCTGAAGACTGGAGTTCAGTTACTACGGGGATTATGATACTGACATTAAGTTGTGCTCTCGATGACTTAATGCTTTTGTTGTTTTACCTATGGAAGACCAAATGGTGTGCCACCCTTCCTAGGACCACATGGAATTCTCCATATGGCCCTGGGTTGGCAGTGACCAAAAAGAAATTTTGTGCAAGATTTGGAAGACAGAAGCAAGGTGGCAGACATATTTTTCATGCTCTGAAGATTGGAACAGGGCACTAGGCACAGTAGGGGCTCACGTGTGTTGTCACTGGTCTGCTATTTTGTTCTGGGCCGAGTGTTGAAGTAAGTCCGTTGGGTGGAGTGGCAGATTCTGCAAGACCCACAGCGTGAAGGGTGGAGGTGATGAGAGACAGGCGTAGTTTCTGGTCTGGATCTTCTTTGATGCACACCAGGCTCTTCTTTACAACTCCCCATCTGGCTGAGCTGTAGGTACTCCAGGCTCAGCATCAGAGGGAGAGGTAAGAGAGCCTTGCCTTGGCGCTTCCGCCGGCTCCCGCATCTACGCAGAGGCCAGTGCAGAAGGACCGCCTGTCGCTCGTGGTCCTTATTTCTCTCTACTGAACACCGACACGTTACAGCTCGGCCCATTGCTGTCTTAACCTGTGAATCCATGGAAGTTCCCAGGCCCTCGCCTCGCATCATTTCTGATAGGAATCAGATAGGAATCTGATAGGTGAGTCTTCACCACACGCCAACGTTGTGCTAACGCGCATGCTCTATTTAGGCTCATTAAGTGGTCTCCAATCCCTCCCGCACGCGGCTTCCTTCTCTCCCTCCTTCAACCATACCTGCCAGCTCTGGTGATGCCCCAAGTCCTCTCTGCCACTTGCAATTGCAGGCTGGGGTCCAGAGCCCTCTGGGGTGACCCTAGGTGGCCTGCGCTGCCCTCGTGTAGAGTCCAGCCTACGGGTGGTGCCCGGTAAGGACTTGTTTTGTCCCTCTTCGTATCCTCACCTGTAATCTTTGTCCAAAGGCACTGCTTTGGGACCCTTTCAACAACTCCGTTCCTCTCCGAGAATGAAGTCTGGCCCCAAAGTCTTGTCCCGTGCCTGGGTCCTGTCACTGTGGTCAGGTCTCAGCTGGGAATTCCTCGGTCCTAAATGTTGATCAACCCTCTCCCCTACCACCCCGACGGAAGAAATGCCTGTTGCTCTGGGCCACTTACTGGGATCCCTCACCCCTTACTGGACACTTCCTCTGTTGGAAGCTGCTTCACATTGAAGCTCTTCCCCCAGCAAACGCCCCTCTTTGCTGGACTGGGCAAAGATGGCTGCCTTCATTGCCAACAGCCTGCTGGGCTGACTTGTGCTTCTTCTGCTTTGGTAGCTGGGTCAGTTTCCCAGCCTCTGACCTAGCTCAGGAAGCACGTGTTGGGACAAGGTTTCCCAGGTCGTACCAATTAGTGGGGCCAATTAGTGTAGCAGTTAGTGGGGCATACATTCAGGTGGACTTGAGAAACCACTTCACACGGCTGGCTAGGGTGGTTTTGTACAGTATTAACGTAGCTAAGCTGGAACTGTTTCCCAGCGTTGTCTTCCCTATACAGTTCCGGGTTATAATTAGCTACAAAAGAGAGATTTGTGCAAGGCTTGGAAGGCAGATCGGAAGCAGCAGCCGTGACTCTGGGCAGCACTGAGGTTAGAGGGGATGAGAGGAATCAGAGGTGCTGGGGGGTTGTCTTCCCTTTCCTCTGCCAAGCCCAGCTTTGATCTGACTGCCAGCTCTCCCGACAATGGCTACCCTAAGCTCCCCACTACGGTTCTAGCAGCACAGATGCCAAGTCTATCTGCACTGGCTCCTGCAGGGTTCTCACCCCAGCGCCTGGATGTGCCTGCCCTCCTAATTACCTTGTGAGCTTGGCTTGTCCACCTGCACCCAGGCTCAGGAGAGACGGGTTAGTGATGTTTCTCTCCTAGCTTTAGTGTTCAAGTCTGAAGACCAAAAAAACCGATTTTCCTTTTTTTTTTTTTTTTTTTTTTTTGACAGGCAGAGTGGACAGTGAGAGAGAGAGAGACAGAGAGAAAGGTCTTCCTTTGCCGCTGGTTCACCCTCCAATGGCCGCCGCTGCAGCCGGCGCACCGCGCTGATCCTGGCAGGAGCCAGGAGCCAGGTGCTTTTCCTGGTCTCCCATGGGGTGCAGGGCCCAAGCACCTGGGCCATCCTCCACTGCACTCCCTGGCCATAGCAGAGAGCTGGCCTGGAAGAGGGGCAACCGGGACAGAATCCGGCGCCCCAACCGGGACTAGAACCCGGTGTGCCGGCGCCGCAAGGTGGAGGATTAGCCTATTGAGCCACGGCGCCGGCTTTTTTTTTTTTTTTTAATGCTAACTTGGGAGCCAGTGCTGTGGCACAGCAGCTGGCCCACTGTTTGTGACACTGGCATCCCATGTTGGAGTGCCTGTTTGTGTCCCAGCTGCTCCGTTTCAGATCCAGCTTCCAGCTAATGTATCTGGAAAGGCAAAGGAAGATGGCCCAAGTATTTGGGCCCCGTCTCCCACATGGGAGACCTGAATGGAATTCCAGGCTTCTGGCTTTGGCCGGGTCTGAATCCAGTTGTTGAGGCTGTTTGGGGAGGGAGCCAGCAAATGGAAGCTCTCTCTCATCATCTCCTCCCACCCCTGTCTGCCTTTCGAGTGAATCAATATTTATTTTAAAAATTGCTAACTTGCTTCACTAGAATTTAATCAATATTCATTCAGAAATATACTAAGAATTGTGTTTTAACTTCGGGGCTCTCCTGTAAACATCTCTGCAAGTCTGTAGATAAAAGCGGAGACTCCTCCTCCATCCCTATTTTAAGCATTTGCTGGAGCTAGGGAATAATATTTTTACCTATGATTTCTATTTTTATAGGTCTTTTGTTTTAAACTCTTAACAAGGAGTAATTTGTAAAATGGTCTCCTAGTCAAATACATCATCATGAACAATCTGCTTGGTAGGAAGCAGGGAACGGCAGCATCAAGTGGAGTGAAAGAAATCCTAATTACTCACACCTGCAGAAGCCGTCACTTTTGCAAAGTGTGCAATTAGCAGCCGAAGTGTGTGCTGGGAAATGTGATTGTTTAAATAGGGTCCCCAGCCCCTAGGCCATGCACATTGGGCCTCTCCCGCTGTGTCCATTAGCCCAGCCTGAGCCCTCCAGGTCACTTGTTAGGCTGATTGCAGGCCTGAATGCAAAAATGTGCAGCCAGCTGTGCCCATGCTCATTGTGAGATATGCAAAACAGGTGTGACCATTTAGACACTTGGGTCTCTGACTTTGTCATTATGAATTTTCTGCTTTTTGAGCCCAGTGGGTTTTGGCCTCGGTTGTACATTAGAATCACCAGGGACACCTCCTAAAAGTTTTGATGCCCAACTTGTACCCAGCCCAGTTAAATCAGACTCCTGGGACAGTGGCTTGTAAAGCACCCCAGGTCATTACAAATGCGGTTCTCAAGCTTAGGCTGCACCAGAATCAGCTAGGTTTGTTAAAACATTGGGTGCCAGGGCAGGCCCTGTGGTACAGCAGGCCAAGGCACTGCTTGGGTCACCACATCCTTTGGCAGAGTGCCTGGGTTTGAGTCCTGGATCTGCTACCAATTCTAGCTTCCTGCAAATGCTCCCAGGAAGCAGCAGATGAAGGTTCAAGTACTGGGGTCCCTGCCACCCACGTGTGGGACACTTAAGGGTTCCAGGCTCCTGGCATCAGCCAGGCCCAGACCTGGACCCTATCCCCAGAATCACTAAGGTGGGGAATGGGAGTGTCCAACATTTTGAACTTCTATTATATTTATTCTAAGAATGCTGCCGATGCTCTACACAATGTTGGATTTCCTATGGAAGTTAACCGTGTTTGTGCATGTGTATATGTGTATGCGCACATATTTGTAGGAGAGGCATTAGCTCCTTCAATCACTTTTACAAGGCTGTTCCAATCTCATTCTCAGGTTCAGAAAGTGTCAGCCTCTTTGAAAGGCACTGGCCCCGCTACTTCCTCAGTTGCTGTGTTTCTGTCTGGCCCCAACCAGCCTGTATCTTGTTTATTCCCTGCTTCTTACAGTTGCGTGTAAGCTCCATGCTAGCAGAAACAGTCTCCTTCCCCACGGCAGGCACTCCCCCAGCACTCCAATTAGTTCACAGAGCAACCCTGTGAGACTACCATGATGGCCTACAGGTCAGACAGATGCAGACATACGTAAGATGACTTGTGTAAGACAGCACGGAAGAAGTAGATCCCAGTTTTGTCCTGACCAGAGTGGGCTCTCAAAGCACTCCAGTTCACCACTGATCTTAAACAAAGCATCAGCCCTCTTTTCCAGCAACAGACTGAGTCACTGACCTAAGGGTATCTACTAACTTCGCAGTATTACCACTTGACTCAAACCTCATCTTTTTCAGTAACAATTAAAACCCAAAGCCCAGATTCAATGGTCAAACTGTGCAATGGCAATTTCTTCCCTATTTTAAAAAACCTTCTCTCCATCCACTGTACAATGCCCCAAAGCCAGTTAAAAAATTTCTACCTCATAAAAAAACTACACCAAAACCTTATTTATGGGCTGGTGTTGCATCAACTGGTTAAACTGCCAGTTGGAATGCCCACCTGACGGAGTGCGGGTTCCAGTCCTGGCTACTCTGCTCCAGATCCAGCAAACTGCTAATGTGCCTGAGAAGGCAGATGAAGTACCTGGTCCCCTGCCACCCACGTGGGAGACCCAGATGGAGTTCCAGGCTCCTGGCTTCAGCATGGCACAGCCTCGGCTCTGGCAGGCATTTGCGGGAGTGAACCCGCAGACTGAAGATCCCTTTCCCTGTCACTCTTGCCTTTGAAATAATTTCTAATGTTGATATTTAGGAGAAGAGAAACCACATGAACACAAACTGAGCTATATGACTTTATTTTACAGGCCAATAGAATTTATCCTAGTAATAAATATCAGTACAGTTAGGACCAGGGTTGGGTGCTTTCCAAGAAAAATGCTTCTCAATGTATATACAAAAGTGTATATAAAATCCTTTAAGTCATTGATCTTATAAATTTACACTGAAAAGTGTGGTAATACCAAGCTACCAGAGTGGAGTGCCCTCCATAATTCATGATTTCGTTTCTTTATAAAAGGTCTCCATTGCCATTTCAGTTTCTGCAAACTAGCAAGCCTGAGACTGGCTGCTGAGAAAGGACCCGATCCAGGCCCCTAATTGTACAGATGCGAATCCACCAGCCTTGCCAGACTACGAAGCAGCTAAGAGGTGGAGCCGCGATCACTAACCAGTTCTGAGGTGCTCCAGAAATGTCTGTTGGGCTAAACAAGGCACACACACCACACGGGCCTCGAGCCACACTGAGTGTAACTTTCTGCTACACACAGGATTAATTCCCATGGGGTCTTTGGTCATCCACAAAATGGATGTTTCCGCTGCTTCAGAAACGAGATCATCCCAGTTACTGCAGTGGGTCCCTGACCACAGGCTGCCAGTGCTGTTCGTTTCTCTCCAACTGGGGTGTTTGGACTTGGGCACCTTTTCTTTCTGTTCTTTTACGCTCCAAAGAGCTACATCAGAGGTATCTGTTCTGTGCAATTCATCAACAGTTATCAGGTTAACAGCGACTACACAACCATCAACAGGAGCATGGCATAGTTCCTTTCTCTCTGCAGCTCGTTCCCACCAGAGATGGCACGTATCTTCTGCTGGTCATCTGAGCAGTCACTGTTTTCTTTGCAAAGCAGTGTAGACGACTTCCAGGGTGTCTGTGTCCTAAACGGCAATGCAGTCTCTCACCACACCAAGAATATGCCGTCTAACGTACCAGGCACTCACAGCATCCATTTCTGGTGCTTTAGTTAAGTCTTGGCCTAAAGGTTGTACACAGCCACCCTGTTGCCAGGGAAAAACTGGCCACTCCAATTAGTATGTGCAGCACATGTACCAACCAGTAAAACACACACATTCTAGCAAGCTGTTTTTGTAACTGCACAAGTCACTTCCAAAACCACCTGCCAGGAATTTTTAATATTGTATTTATAAAGCTGGAATATATTTATATCAAGGGAATTTTCTAATTTCTAGGTGATCCTAATTTCTTGCTACTCTCAGCACAGACTGACAGCTTATCTTTACACAGTTCTTTTCTCCCAGCAATAGTTCCCTGCTGAAGCGCATGTCTGGTCTGCTTGCGTGTCACACAGGCTAACCTGAGGTGCCTGTGCGAGCTTATCTGTTTGCACCAGGCCTTCCATTTCCAAACTCAGGCTCTGTCGTAGGCTTTCCCTTCCAGTAGCAGTGAGCTGACACTGTGATACACTGAAATGACTGCAGCCAGCCATGAAGACATCAACCCCACCCACACCCAAAACACAATCACATCAGCCCTATCTAAAATTCACACAAAAACCCAGATCTAAGAGTATCTGCTCTGATCTGGCAAAAATCGTTTTAGCATTTCACTACTAGGTTGGCATGTTCTGCTTTCCTCATTCTATTACCAATGTCCCTTCCTTTAGGGGCTTTTGTTTTTGTTGTCTTTTCAAGGAACATGTAGAATGTAAGGAAACTCCAAATCGTCTGACGATTTCACTTTGGAATTCTCTTTTAGCTCTAGAGAAATTATGAACAAACTCTGTGCATAAAGTGCAACAAAAAAGCAGGCTGATCAGAGTGTGAACGCAGTAACAATGGTAACAGAGGAGATGGGCTGGACGTGTGATCCAGCATGCTGACAGGAAAAATGAATTTTCTTAAATTTAGAACAGCAGATTGATGTCAAATTTCAAAGGAAGGGCTAATTTTAATTCTCTTAATAGCCACATTAAAAATACAGTCCCCTTTTTTCAGGGAATGCTAATGAATGAGGTAGCTGACAGTTATCAGGCTTCACATATAAAAATGATGAAACTGAGGGAAAGAAAGCACTGATTTGAAATTATCTTCCCTGAAATCCAGATGGACAATTAAGAATACTTCCAATTCAGGGTTCTCACACGAAATCCAGCTATGTCATGCTGCGGACTGGCTCTTTATTTGACGGCGAAGTCAGCACTAGGAAAGAATCCCTGTCCAGGAGCGCTTGTGTTTTGTGCGTCTGATGTTTCCATCGTGGCTCTGGCCCAGCTCTCAGGGTTTGCTTTCCTGAAGGCTTCATTAGCATTTAACCAATTCTTTGTTGGTTGATGGGGCTGGGACTGTTTCTCCACACATAAACTGATCCTAAGGCAGAAGAAATGACATTAACCAGTGAGTTTCCATGTCACAAAGGCAATAATATGAAACTTTCATTTTGTTACAGAATCAACCCTGTTAACTTAATTTTTCAATTTGTTATTTCATCCTTGTTTAAAGAGCCAACGTCAGTACCAGAATTAGAATGTTAAAAGTATTATCAGTATTCAGTCCTGAATGCATTATTTAATGAATAACTTATAAACAAGCTTAACATGTCTATCTTCACTACAGAGTACTTTTTGGAAATCACATAATCACAGGTTCCATCTTTTAAGTTTGTTAATTACTTCAATATTTGGTCATTCAAATATCTGCCCTCCTCAAAGGTATTACTTCCTGCATCTCAAAGGGATAGGTCTTTAGCTGGCGCCGCGACTCACTAGGCTAATCCTACGCCTGCGGCGCTGGCACACCGGGTTCTAGTCCCGGTCGGGGCACCGGATTCTGTCCCGGTTGCCCCTCTTCCAGGCCAGCTCTCTGCTGTGGCCCGGGAAGGCAGTGGAGGATGGCCCAAGTGCTTGGGCCCTGCACCCGCATGGGAGACCAGGAGAAGCACCTGGCTCCTGCCTTCAGATCAGCGCGGTGTGCCGGCTGCATCGGCCATTTGGGGGCTGAACCAACAGAAAAGGAAGACCTTTCTGTCTCTCTCTCACTGTCCACTCTGCCTGTCAAAAAAAAAGGGGGGGAGGGGATAGGTCTTCTCAACCTGTTTCTTAAAATATCCTTTTGTCTCCAAGAAACATCTGACAATTTCTGGAAACACTCTGAGCAGACACAATCCTCTACAACGGGTAGAGATATGGATGCTGGTAAATATTCTACAATGCACAAGACTGCCCCACACCACAAGGGACCACAAGGGACTCCCAGGGCTACAACATCAAAGGTGTGGACACTGAGACAAAGCCCTACTCTAAGCTACATGCGCCTCTGGTGGGCCTCCGTGCTGTCAGAGCCTCGTAACACAGGCCTTCAGAGTGGGGCCACCTGCCTCTCTGTCCCAGGCGCTCCTTCCCTCTCCGTCACCCACTCACATCGAGTCCCTGCTGCCCTGGGTCTCCTAGCTCAACCCTTCTGGACCACCACTGCCCCCGCTCCTCTGACAGTCTCATTACCTGGCTGCATTCCACAAGGACCACAGTCACTCTCCTCTCACCTGCTCCTACTCATTTAGTCAACTCCAACTCCTCGATCTGCCTAGGAAGAAGTGCTTATACTTGCTGCCTGCTATTCTTCCATTCCCTCCAACCAGTTTTCTCCAATCAGGCTTTGTCCCCATGACTCAGCAGGCTAAGCACGGGTCAGGTCCCAGCTGCGCTACTTCAGATCCAGCTCCATTAAAATGTACTTGGGAAAGCAGTCGCAGATGGCCCCAAATCCGACACCCCCCCCCCAACACACAGAATGTGGGAGCCCTGGATGGAGTTCCAGGATCCTGCTTTTAGCCAGCTGCAGCTACCCGAGGAGTCAACCAGCAGACAGAAACTCTCGCTCTTTGTCTCTCCCTTTCTAACTCTGATTTTCAAATAAATAAATTTTAAAATAAGACAACTGATAACCTTTGTAATGGTTTTTCTCTTTAAGATGTCATTTTCATTAGTTTTATTCCTCTCTCCAGAGCTACAATAAGTAACATAACTTGAACTTTAAAAATTCTAATGGCTGTTTTTAAAAGCTGTTTAAAAATACTGCATCCTCCCTAGCACTTACAGGTCACAGACAAGCTGCTCCAGGTCCCTGCCAGCGCCCCGCCCCCCTTTTAAACGACGCCCCTTACTTTGTCATAAATCACTTTTATAATGAGAGAGCAGCTAGGGCACGTTGCCACGTCTTCCCCATTCTCCAGATCTTCCTACAACGAAACCAAACACGGTGCGGTCAGCATGGCCTCCCCCTCACCACCTCCCGCCCCTCCGTGTAGATCTCCTTTTGCCACCCGGCAGGATGCGTGAGAGCCGAAAGGGCCTTCCTCGAGAAGCGCCGGCTCATTCCTCCCTAGAGAAACACCCAGAGGGCTGGGTGGGGTCCAGGCGCCTCGGGATCTCCGGGAAAGAGACGCGCCCCTCGGCCCCCACAAGTACAGTATTTCGAGAAGGGATCCTGGGCCGATCCGCAGCGCCGGGAGAGTTGGGCTCTCGGCCACCCCCTCCGCGGCGTAACCAGACCCACTGAGAGCTCAGGTATTGACTGGCGGCGAGAGGAAGGGAATTCAAACAGGGAAGACAGCGCTGGAGCGACTCGAGCCTCTGCCACACCGGAAGGAAGCCGGCGGGGCGCCGGCGCATGCCCACTGAGTCGCTGAGCACGGGCCCGGGAGTTACCTTGGTGATGGAGAAGTTATCCCCACAAGGGCAGGGATAGAAATACGTCTCCGAGTCCTCATCATATTGGAAGTCCTCGATCTCCACTTCGTCGTGAAACACCGCCATGGTCACTGGGGCCGGCAAACAACTACTTCATGACCAGTCCCAAACCACTTCCGTCTGACTTCTGGGGCGCCGGCCCCTATAATGTTTCCGGTCCGCACCACGGATCGGCGCAGGAATACTTCCGGCGCATAGGCAGTGACGCAAGAGAGGCCAAAAGGGTGACCGGGTCGCGGTCGCCATGGAGATGGCGGAGCTAGGGGCGGCGACCTTCCAAAGAGGGCGTTACCTGCTCGGTGTCGTTCCTCCCATTGGACTGCTGCGACCAATAGCACGTGGGGTCCCCTCGGGCGGCTACACGTCACGTCCGCGACCTCGGAGCTTCCCAGGGCACCGCGCGGCTCTTGGCTGGGACTACGGGTCTGGTGCTCACTGTGGCTGGTCTTTGCTCCTTGTGGCTGACTCGAGCCTTAAACAGCCCGCCGACGGGGCAGCAGGCGCCGGGTGATACCCACCTGCCCCTCGGGGAAGGGCATGAGAGCGCGCAGATTTGATGGGTCTCTTGCCACGGCGGGAGCTCCCAGGATCTGGACTCAATCTGACCTGAGCCGCCACGAAGTCGCTGCCCAGTGACGGACAGTTACCGTGGAGTTTCTGTTCACCAGGTGACCTTGAGCGCGGGGCGAAGCCTAGCTTGGTTACAACTCCTGCTGCAGGTATCCCCGTCTTTCCCCCACCCCAGCCATCTTAGGGTACCCGGTACTGCGATGCTGAAGGGACCCACACCTGCATTACTAACGACACTGATACGTGGTAGCAGTAGTAACATCACCTTTTGTTCTGGGGAGCTTTTAGGTGGCAGGCATTGCGCTCATTCTCCCGTTGACTGTAGGGGTTTGTTTAGGTGTTGGTTCATTTTATGAGTCTAAAAGCTGCGATACGGAGAGTGAATCTCGGCCAAGATTACACCCCTAGGTACTAATGAAGATCCCGGCTCCCTGCAACACCTGAGAACACTTTACTGAACTCACTTTGTAAAAGGATTGATGTCAGTGGGCGGGGTTATCAGCCTGAGGCCTCTGTATGTCTTGAAGGGAAATGCAAGTCAGACGTGGTTTGTCTTGAAAACAGTGCTGGTGCCTGTTTTGGTGCAGCCAGGCGCACCGTTACTGTCCGTATGCCGGTGGAGAAAGGGGGCAGTGTTGTGAAAAACAGACGACTCAGAAACGAGGATCAGCACTCAATCGCACTTGCTTACACAGTAGCTGTGGACGGTGGATATTTACTTTTTTTAAAAAAATTTATTTATTTTATTTGAAAATCAGAGTTACACAGAGAGAGGAGAGGCAGAGAGAGAGAAGTCTTTCATCTGCTGGTTCACTCCCCAGTTGGCCGCAACAGCTGGAGTTGAACTGATCCAAAGCCGAGAGCCAGGAGCTTCTTCCGGGTCTCCCACGTGGGTGCAGGGGCCCAAGCACTTGGGCCATCTTCTACTGCTTTCCCAGGCCATAGCAGAGAGCTGGATCGGAAGTGGAGCAGCCAGGTCTCGAACCGGCGCCCATATGGGCTGCGGGCACTTCAGGCCAGGGCATTAACCTGCTGCACCACAGCGCCAGCCCCAGATATTTACTTTCTTTGGACCTTATTCATCTTCTAACTAAGAAAGAGTTGAACTGGAGATGATTATCATATCGTTTTCAGAGCTTACATTCTACTTTTGCATGGAAATTGTTTTATTTGGTTCAACAATCACATATAGTATTCACATATTTACACGTACACACACAGTTACATTTACATAGCACATATGCATAGCACACCTCTGTGCTTGCATACCCACACTGAGATGTTTGCATGAATTACCAGTGTTGTGTACATCGAATTGAAGCTCCACTTGGTACCCTTTTAACAGAAACCTAAAGGCAGAGTAGTCTTTGGGAGAAACTCCAGAAGTTACATGAAAAGAGTTTATAGAAGATTCTTTCAAGCATTTCACACTCTGTTTTGCATAACTGGAGATCCTTCCAGCAGTTAGAAAACATTTACCAAACTTGCTCAGGGTTAAATGTGAAGATTCCGATCTGTCTGGGCAAAGGAAGAATCCCAGCGGGTCTCAAAGTGCTCTCTGCTCTCTGCTCTCTGTAGGTACAAGTACTGCCCGGGTAGCCTGAAAGTGAGGCAAAGGCAGATTCTGCAGGCTCTGTGGTTCCAGTGATCGTTTTGAAGTTAGGTACTATCTTTAGGGCTTACGTGAGCCATTTTTGAACGTACAGAAGTGGATACAGTCCTGTTTGGCTCCTGAAAGTATAAATTGTGTTGGGGGGCAGGTGTTTGGCATAGCAGTTAGGATGCTACTTGGGCTGTTGGCATCTCGTATCAGAGAGCTTAAGTCCTGATTCTGCTGATTGAAGCTTCTGGCTAATGCACTTCCTGGGAGGCGGTGGTTGGTGGCCCAGGTCTTTGGGTCCCTGTCACCTTTGAGAGACCTGGATTGAGTTCCTAACTCCTGGCTTTGTCCTCGCCCAGCCTTGGCTGTTGTGGACATTTGGAGGGTGAACCAGTGGATGGAGGATCTCTGTTTCTCACTCTGTGACTCTCTACCTTTCAAGTAAGTTTAAAAATAAGTAAAAATTAGGGGTGGATTTTGGGTGCAGCAGGTTAAGCTGCCGCTTGGAACATCCATGTCCCGTATTACAGTGCTGCTTTGACTCCTGGCACCCCCACTTTCATCCAGGTCCCTGCTAATACGTCCTGGGAGCGCCAGGTCCTTCCTGTAGTGCTTGCTACCCATTTGGAAGACCTGGATGGAGTTCTGGGCTCCTGGTTTCAGGCTGGCCCAGCCCTGGCTGTTGTGGGCATTTGGGGAAGTGGACCAGTGGATGGAAGAGCTTTCTCTCTCCCTCTCTCTCTCTCTCTCTCTGTCACTTTGCCTTACAAGTCAGTTAAACTAAATAAAATTTTATAAGGAAAGACTGAACGAGTGGAGGAGCTTCCAATCTGCTGGTTCACTCCCCAGATGGCTGCAACGGCCGGAGCTGGGCCGGGCCGAAACCAGGAGCTTCATCCAGGTCTAACATGTGGCCGGCAGGTGTGGAAGCACTTGGCCCATCTTCCCTGCTTTCCCAGGCGCTTTAGCAGAGAGCTGGATCACAAGTGGAGCAGCCGGGACTTGAACTGGTGCCCATATGGGATGCCAGAGTTAACAGGCGGCAGCTCAACTCACTGTGTCACAACGCCAGCCCCTAAATAAAACTTTTTAAAAAATAAATAAAACATTTTAAAAGGAAGGTAATTTAGATCTGTCAAAAACAATTTGCTAAAGACTCTTACAGAATTTTTTAAGATTTCATTATTAAGGTAGAGTTACAGACAGAGGGAGAGACAGAAAGGTCTTCCATCCACTGACTGGTTCACTCCCCAAATGGCTGCAACCGCTGCAGCTGGGCTGATCCAAAACCAGGAGCCAGGAGCGTCTTCTGGGCCTCCCACACGGGTGCCCGGGCCCAAGCACTTAGGCCATCTTCTACTGCGTTCCCAGGCCATAAGCAGAGAGCTGGATCGGAAGAGGAGCAGCTGAGACAGGATCTGGCTCCTAAATAGGATACCAGCGCCACAGGTGGAGGCTTAGCCTACTACACCAGAGAATCGACCCCTCTTAGAGAATCCTAAAATCTAATGTTGGTGATCCCAAAAGTTATAGGAATTGTCAAGTGGCTTTTCCTTATTATTTTCCAACTTTTCTTTAAGTCTGTACTCATATATATGATTTCAGATATTTTTGCATTAATAAGTTAAATAAGCTCGATTTTTAATTCCGTTTTCCACAAACTTTTTGAAGGGCCCTCATATCAGCTAAAATGGAGAAGCAAAAATGAATGAGTTACTTACTAAGGCAGGTTGACACTGTAAGCTGGGCCCTGTGCCACATCCTGTATGTAAAAACAGCCCAATGAGGTAGCGAAATCAGTCCCATCTGTAACTTGGGGGCCGAAGAATTTGCTCAGGCAAAGCTAGAAAGTTTCGGAAAGCTGTGATGAGACCTGCGATCTCTGATCCTAGAACCTTGGCTCGTAGTGAACTACAAGGCCATTTATGGTGAAATGGGGTTTGGAGCAGAGCTAGATCTAACAGACATAGGTTTTGCACTACAGCTGTTCTGATCCCTTGAAACCTAGATTTGTGGGCTCTCCTTGGCCTTCTGCACTGCGGCCCTCCTGCCCTCCGTCAGTCCTCCTCCTCGTCTGGCCACAGGCGGTTCCTCTGGTGGTTCTGCCCAGGTTGATGTGTGCTGAAGAGAAGGGAGATGTTTCTTTTTTCATTCTACCCAGTGCTTTTAAGTACAGTATTACAAGACTACTCAACTTCACATTTGTTCCTAAAAGGCAATACAAACCTGGAATGACACATTTTTAGCCAATGCAAATACAATTACTAGTTGCTTCAGAGTCCTTTGATATCACAGGTTTATTTTTATTTTTTATCATAATAGTTGACACTGCTGTGACAGCGGCCACAGTTGCTAACCTAAGATCAGATTTGCAACCAGGTCATAACTGTGTAATAGAAACTATATTTTGTGAGCAGTGTTGAGTGTCAGCCAGGGGAGCTGGCCTTCAGCACTGTCAGAACATTACTGTTCCAGCTGCTTGGCAAGGAAGGGGGTGGGGATTGATGTATTTGGCTTTATTTATTTATTTTTATTTGAGAGGCAGAGTTATAGACAATGAGAGGGAGAGACAGAGAGAAAGGTCTTCCATCTACTAGTTTACTCCCCAAATGGCTGCAACAGCCAGAGCTGGGCTGATCCGAAGGCAGGAGCCAGGAGCTTCTACTGGGTCTCCCACGCAGGTGCAGGGCCCAAGCACTTGGGTCATCTTCTACTGCTTTCCCAGGCCATAGCAGAGAGCTGGATTGGAAGAGGAGCAGCCAGGATATGAACCAGTGCCCATATGGGATGCCAGCGCCACAGGCAGAGGCTTAGCCCACTATGCCACAGCGCCAGCCCCTTGGCTTTATTTTTAGTAACACTTTACTTCCCAGGTACTCCTGTAGACATTATTTCTTTTATTTCTCTCAGCAGTCCATTGAGGCAGTGTGGGTAATTGTTAAAATGGTAAGATCCAAACACGTGGGGTCACACCTGAGGCCAGATCCTCCACTGGTACAAGTCACACACTCTGTACCACTGAGGTTCCCTTACAAATCCTGGGAGCCCCTTTGCGAATTCAGTGACACCCAGGACTCGGAATTGGCAGGTGCCACAGTTGTTCTGTGACTGGACTTTGTGTCAGTGCGTTCATGCCCTTTGAGGCTTCTTGGTGTTTCACTGCTCTACCACACCCCACGCAATAAGTCACCAAATTATAGGGCTCTGATTCCGAAATATATTCCGTGTTCTACTGTCGCTCCCCGTCTTCATGGAGGAACGACACAGGACCCTGCGCTGTTCTTTCGTCTGCTCGGCCCTCCCCGGGTTTGCTGCTGGTTCTTCCCGGGTTGGCTACTATCCCTTCCACCTCCGTGGAAGGGCAGTTCCCCCTGGCCACATTCCCCACTTCCGCAGGGGAGCGGCACACCGCCGGCCGGCTCTTCTCGGGGGCTGCACAGGTGTTCCCCTTAGATGTTCCCCTTAGATGTTCCCGGTGCATGCCGTCTCTCTCCTCCTATATAGTCCTCCTCCGCCAATCCCAACTCGGCTGCCCACACGCCGAGTACG